AGAACAACATAATTCAATCACTTTTAAAGCCAAAAGTGCCCAGTTTACAAACATATAAGAATAAAGAAACTGAGATACGTACATACATACACACAGATGCCACGAAAATTTCTCTTTAGAATTCATTTTCAATCAGTTTTATAATTTTTTTGGGGAGAAGAGTCCTTTATTCTGTCCTTACGTATGATTGTCACGTAAAAATATCTTGCATTCGGTAGTGGTCAAAATGGATATTTTTGTTGAAATATGATGCCTGAATTTTTTCACGGTTACAATACTTCCAATTTACTTCGTACAAGGAAGTAAAAATTGTGCCAACATAAATTTTTGAATTTCTCCGTAAATTTTGCACCAAATTTTACAGAATTTAACATGGTACGTAACGGCCCTTATATTTGAAATGCTTACTTTTTCTCTCAAGCACTTATTTTTTTGCTTTTAGAGCCCTTTTTTTTTTTTTTTTTTTTTCCCCTTAAGTAATGCATATTTTTTCCCTGTACGAAGGCCGAAATTAAATAAATAACGTTTCTTCTTTATATAGAACGTCAGATGGTGAATCATAGTCTGGGAAATAGCTTTTCGCCCCTTTCTCTGCATTAACGTAACCTTTGGTGTGTAGTACAGACTTTGGTGCACGTCATTGGTGAAAGAAATGCGAAAGCGGTAGAAAGTTCCGGTACATTCTGTATTCTTTTCCTCCCACCCAAGACTACACATGTTTGAATTTCTATCAAGATTTTAATAATTTGCATTCTCGTTCCGTGTGGTCAGTTCATATTCACATTTATTATGATCATTATGCTTATATTATGAGGATATGTATGAATATTTATAATAATATAGTTGCAGTAACTGCTGAAGTGTATATAAACTTAAAAAATGGGTGTGTTTTAACACTGATTAGCTTTCTACGGAATAATATTAGGAATGGCGTAAATAAAGTGAAAGTAATTGAATAGTCAAAATAATTTAATTTTTTTGCCAGTGCATCATGCATTATGGAAGTTGGGAGGTCCTCCTCTTTCTCTGCAAAATCTCGAATATTGAAACCGTTTCATGTCGCAGCAAGACAAGCAACGAACTTTTTTTTTTTTTTTTCACTTTTCAATCTAGATTAAATAGGTCTGAAAAGTGTGCGGTCTACCAACCTTAGCAAAGAATGATTCTATTCGGGAAATTTAATGCAGTCTGTTCAAAATTTGAATGGAAAACACCCCATATTGGTAAGTTTCTTTTCCTTTGTTTAGCTCTTTATTTTCCGAATACCAGCAACTGTTGATTCCGACTGCATAATATCATGTACAGACAAAGTAAGGCGCACATATTGCACAATAACATTTGCAATATTTTGCAGAGATAATTAATTTTCATGTTCAGTTTCAGATTTGTTTATGAGCACTTAAAAGAGTTTTACTGTGTTTGCTAAGCAGAATATTTTTCAGTTTCGTTGGGCTATTTTTATATGATGCACATATTGAAATGTCAAAAGCATTATTTAGCTGAAAAATCTAAAAAAGGGCTACAATCTACCCCACCTCCCTCCTCTTTTTCCAGCTACACTCGACTATCCGGAATTTTCAGATAATCGGCAATTTCCGAGTATACGGATTAATTAAGCTTTTACTATTAAAGGCATGAAGCAATTTCCCATCTTCTGATTTCAGAAATGTTTGTCTTCTTACTTAAATTACTTTACTTGCAATATCTGTTAAGGGAAAACTGTTATATAATGAAAATTTTCAGAATTTTGATTAAATTATTTAAATATGAATATGAGTGGAAAAATAAATTGTATTTCTTACTAGGATCCAAGTGAATACAATAAATATGGCTTATTATTATTAATTTTCCCTATTTTGAACAGAAATTTCATCATTAAATCTTGTAATATAGCTTAGTTCTGCATAGTTTTTCCCCCTCATTGTAAACTAGTTCCGTAAATTGAATTGTTATTTAAAAAAAGTAATTGTTTTCCATGATTGAGTAATACTCAATCTCTCTTAATAAATACTGAATTTCTCATATTTAATTACAAGTCTAATTTTTCTTTTAAGATTAGGCAGTTGTGTATAATGTAATTAGACAGGTGCTTATGTTTTTAACTAAAATGTGGCTACTAACCCTGTTTAATATTTAGGCATAATTTCAATCGTAGAATCAAAATATGGGAAAAAATTGGTGTTATTTCAGAAAACGTCCGATTTTGTGTCAAAATACCTCTGTTAGAACAGTGCTATATATAAATCTAACATATATCCTAAGTCACGCTTTCGAGACATGAAAAACACAATTTGAATTTTGTCAATTGGCCCAGTAGAACGGGAGATATAGAACTGCCCCCCTTTTTTTAGTGTACAGTAGTTTGATGCACACTCGGATGTATTACTTATTGTCTTAAAGGAAAAGTTTGATTTTATTTATTACATCAGAAAAATTCCTAGAAATACCAGGTATACTAGTACATTGAAAATTTTATTTCGACTCATAATAAAAAAAAACTGGTTTTGTTTCACAGTGTCCAAGAGCACAAATAATGAGCCCAGTTTTCTTTGAATCCAGTGTGAATATTGCTATTTAACCAGACTCCTTTGGACAATTTTATGACCAGTTAACAAAATAAAAAGTGAATTCACTTAATTATTCCTTATGCAGTTGAGTCGTGTAAGGTGTGAAAGGGCAACATATCACACCTTACACGACTCAACTGCATAAGGTCATAAACTGTGTATGCTTAGCAAAGCCACCATGTTCCTCGGAGTTGTCGGTGGACTTGCTTTATATATTGGGAAAATTAAAGCAAAAAATTTACATCAACAATCCAAATTAACTGAAGGAAAACATTGCAAACATCACTGTTAAACAGATGCAAGCAGTATCAGCCATTCTGATGTGACTAGATGTGCACAAAATGTGAATGAGGACCACTTTCAGCATACAATAAAACAATCCACTTATTTATTATCTTGTCATATTATTACTGGGGGCAGGCTATATTTTCATTGCCCATCATGTATATCATGAGTCATAGTGATGCCTGAGAAAAAACTACCAAATATTTCTTCAGACATGTTGAATTTTTTGTTGAAGTCACTGCAAAGCTGATGATGAAAATGATTCAGAGGATAATATTATATGTGCAGAGCTTTTGAAGGAAGCAGTTAAGTGTGGAAAAATCCTACAAATTGTCACCTCAGTAGTAATATCAGCTATTCTTTCTGCTTCAGGTAAAGTAACAATTGTTGAAATTGTAGCTAAAGTCAAAGCTATTACTGTGAAAATTTAATTGATTATGGTACAGTCAAAAGTCGTTAATCCAGACTCGTCGGGACTTCAGCGATTCCGGATTATCGATTTTTCTGCATTTCGGCGATCCGGATTATCGATTTTTCCGCATTATAGATCATCAGTTTAAATCTTGTAAGATGGCATGCAGAAATTCTAAAATAAAAATATGAAACCATAATTTATGAAATAAAGAACAATTATGATCTAAAGGGTATCAAAATTTACAAAAAAAAAAAAAAAAAAAAAGCTTAATATTTATTTGTTTACTTTGTTAAACATTTCTTTCAATGTAAGTTGTTTAAGTTGCTTTGTTTTATGTGATAATACTTTCTTTTTAATACTACAAACAGACATAATTTCTTGTTCAGTTACAGAGATCCGCTGTTCAAGTCCCGTAATTGCTGTGCTGAGAACATCAACTAACTTGTCAAACGAAATTTTTTCGTTTTCACTAACCTTTCTGTCACCTTCTTCATGTCTTTATCCATTTTTTGCAGCAATTCCACTTTTTGTTTGACGGACATCGAAACATACTTTCGTTTTGTAGATCCTTTGGGAGCTCCAGCATTGGAAATTCTATTTGACATAATCGAAAGTTCAAGTTTACTTTTATAAAATTGCTCTTACAATCTGCAAAAAATAATAAGCCGCATCCAATTCGAAGATTAAGGAACAACGCAATCATCAACATTAACTGAAATAGATAATTAGATAATTTTAGCTTGTACCGTCCGTTATACATTAAATGCGCACGCGAAAACGTATTCTGTGCTTGCGCACACGCAAATGCGCAGTCGTAAAGGTCTTACGCGCACGCGTAAATGCCTATGCGCATGTGTCAACGCAGCACATGCGCAGAAAGTTTTTAGCTTTGAGGTCCGGATTATAGATCATTCCGGATTATGGGTGTCCGAATTAACGACTTTTGACTGTATTACTCAAATATGGAGTACTATATTACAATATGGGGTTCTCAAAAAATATACTTTAGAGACTTTGTATATACCATTAAAATTATGGTGAGGAAAAACATTCAAAGAGCATGAATGTTTGCATCAAGTCAGAGATGGAGGTAGAATTATAAATCATTGTCAGAAATATTTATTAATGTGTAATGATAATTATTTTTCAATTTTTTTTTAAACTATTTTTATTTACTTTTAATAAAAGTATAGAATGTCGAATAATAGGTCTGTAGATTTTTTTTTTTTTTTTTTTTTTTGTCGTCGTCTTAAGAATGGCCTTTTAATAAGTTTTGAGGGTATCCTTTATTCATCATTATGTTTGTATATGTAGGTGTACACTCCCCTCAGCAGTTCTGTAGACTTTTATGTTACAGAAATGTTTATTAAAACAAGCTAACAGTATTGTTTTAATAAACATGAAGGTAAAACTGGATCAAATAGTTATGAAATAGTTTTAATTAATAAAAATATCCTTTCATTAGGTTTCTTGGTTTCTGTGCTTTAAAGTTAAGGAGGCTTAGTAAGCAAATTGACAGTATTACTACCTAAATAATTTGTTTCTGCTGGTATTTTTAAGACCTACAAATTTCTTAAAATAGCTCAGATTCAGTTGTGGAAGTTTGTTAATCTATAGTTGTAGATTAAGTAAATTGCTGCATATGCAAAAATACATCACTATTTGGAAGATAATTAATTTGCTTATGTTTATTCAAAATCATTTGTAATTTTAATAAAAACATTATTTTTCAGGTGATGCCACAACTTTTGAACTTTTTATCCTTAGATAGTGTAGAAGATAGTGTGGATTGGGGTACTTTAATTGTGTATACTTGTTCTGAATCTTGTGAAAGGGGTACAGGTGCTTATGTCAAAGAATTCTTGTGGAAACAAGATTTTTCCAATGACAGATCTTAATAAAACTTATATATGAATTTCAAAATAAATAATGTATTGTTGTTATTTAATGATTCCAATATACAAAGTAAATAATGTAAGTAGCTATAAGTGTTACTATACCATGTCTACAAAAGCCTTGACATGGCCTTTATTTTTCTAACGACTAGTCATAGACATAAGTAGAACATTACTATAGTGAGAAATGTTTCATATGGCACAAATATTAGCATTTTTAAATTTAAAAAAATTGATTTTACAAAGGTTAACTTGTTATATATTCTTCAGGGCCTACACTTGTATTTAGGAAAGTTTTACACAGTTAACTAAGGTATTTCATTTCAAAGTTGGAGATTGTATTTAGGCACCAGATGCAAACTGGAGAGCATTTATTTGTATAAAACTATCAGTTTAGAAAAAGGTTTCTGATGTTAATAAATTATGAGTAAAATTTTGTACTGATTGGCGTGAAAAGTATTCACAAGAAAAGTAAGCTGTTATTCACTGGGGGCTTTAAAAAATAAAAATAAAAAAAAAAAAAATAAAAAAAAAAAAAAAAAAAACTTATTCACAGAATTTTTATTCTAGAAAACACTTTAGTAATAACGCATAGCCAACATGTAACGTTTTTTGCAGGAATTAAAAATTTTAAACATTTTCTAGTTTAACTACTTTTTTGTATGATTATTAGATAATGATTTTTTTTAAACCTTTTGATAGTAATCAATGAGCTCAGTTCTTATTCCAGTTACGAACCACAGTGTGTGAGAACAAACATGGCTTGTATTACAAATTTACAATTGACAAGATTCACATGTATTTGGAAATAAAGAATTGCTTAATTCCAGTTGGAAATGATGTCAGATATCCTAAATTTTGAAATCAAATAGCTTGGTCAAGTTTTGTTGTACAGGAATCAAACTTCTTGTATTTTGTATAAAACTGTTAAGTAAAGTTTGAGGCCTGGGACAATCATTTTCATGTTTTTATAAAATTGACTTTTTTTAATTTGAAAAATGCTGATCACATTCTGCTAGTAAGTTTTTTCCCCATACTCCTTCATCTAATTTCGGCATTATAATTTGTACCTCATCGCCAGAAATAAATGCTTTAATTGATGGAAATACTTTTGTAACTGGAAGTATATGTCTATGACCTGTTGTAAAAATATATAGTTATGTCAGAAATATTATTAATGTTTAAAATTATTTTTAAAAATATTTTGCTTACTTGTAATAAAAATGTACAACTCCGGATAATAGGTCACTATTAGATTACAAAACACTTTCTGTTCCCAAGAAAGAACTTTTAATAAGTTTTAAGGATATACTTTGATCATTATGTTTGTACATGTAGGTGTATATTCCCCCTCACTTTGCCAGTTTTGCCAGTTAAAAGTTCGCTTGACTATCCTTTCGATCAAAAACAGATAAATAATAATCAGAGCCATGCTGTTATCAAATGTTCACCTATGTTTATATTTTTAAAATTATTCTCAAATGTAAAGAGGGGTCTCATTTTCAAGTTCATGCAGTAATATGTGTATTATTAAAAAGATGACTATGAGCTTTATTTCTTAAATATAGATCCCACAGATATGCTTTCAGTTAGAAAGTTTCTTGACACACACACAATGCATATTTTTACAAAAACAGACTAAGCACTGTGATTGAGAAGTTTCTATAAAAAACTAAATTATAAAAATATTCTTTACACTTTTAATTAGTTTAAACTTTAAAAGCAAATTGAGAGAGGAGCTATTGGGGGGGAAGCTACTTTCTTTTCATAGTTTTGGGCAACAGTAGTCAATCTACCGAGTCACGAAAAATTACATTGGTGGTACATATAAAAATTATATTGCAGGGTATATGAAGCAATTGGTAAATAAATTTAACTGAATACAAATACATCATTGAGAACTTTTTTCAGAAAATTTTTAAATATGAAATTTTATTAAATTCTAGAGAGATTATTTTTAGAACAATTTCAAACAGAGCCAAAAATATTACTATTTGTTATTAACAAGGTTAAAAAAAAACAAGGTTAGGTCTCATTAAATGTTTCCTTTTTTATTTATTTATTTATTTTTTTTTAATTGCGTAAAGTTTTTAAAGTTCCTATGTGTTATACTCCATGTTTTAATTTTAATTTATAAATGATTAATGCTACTTGATTTTTCAACTAATTATTTGGTAACTACAGAGTTGATTTCAGTTTATTATACTTGCTTTGACAGTAAAGTTTGTTCTGTATTTAAAAAAGTCTTCCTGATTATTAATATTATCTAATGCTAGTTTTTAAGCAATTAGTTTATTGATCGATTTAACTTTTGGGTCAGCATGTTATCTCAAATAGGGTCACACTGCCCAAAAGGTTTGAACACCACTAGTCTAGGGTAAAACAGCAATCATTAAATTTATAAGTAGAAATATTTATCAAGCACACAAAAATATGGAAGTTGTATTAAATATATGAACTAAATAAATATCTCAGTAACTTTGATTTTTTATTCTAACCATATGAAACTTTCCTTGCTCAACAGGTTGGCACGTTTTTATAAAATTCTATATTTTATTTTAAAATTTTAATTAGGACTGTAGGATAAGAATTAATATATATTTTTTTTTTAAATAAAACCTGTAGTCACCTTTTCTGAACATCTTGTAATGAATTAATTGCAAGGAAAGTGCACAACTTCTTTCTCCTCAATTATGTATAATTATTAAATATCAATGAAAATGAAAAACTGCTGGTGATAAAGGAATTTAGGTAATAAATAGTGCTTGGAACTTTAGCCTAGATTTTCTATTATTTTTCAGACTAAGATATTACTAGAAGAAAAACATACATGGGTAAAGTTACAAAATTATTTTTTTCAATAATTAAAAATAGTTGTCACCATTAATTTTAAAAATTGATAGCACGTATAATTTGAGGAATGGGTAATATAGAGTACTTTCGATTATCTAGGTGTGGATGGCCATGCACACACACTCAGCACAAGTCTGAGCATATTAAAAAACTGCTGAATTGTATCTTAGGTTTAGTTTTAGCAATTACCTTGCAATTTGTTCTGCATATGCATGAATGTAATATGTAGTTATAATGAATTTGAGACAATAACTGAAGTTTTATGCCACAAAGGTAAAATTCTTCGAAAATATTGATCAGGAAAACGTAGTTCAATGGTGATTTGACTGAGCTGGGCAAATGTTACAAAAAAAGAAGAGGCATAAAATCATAATGAAAATACAAGCAAAGATAGTAATTATATTAGTCTTAAAACAGAGATAACTTCTGTTAAAATTTGATTGGACTTGATTGACCAAAGGGGAACCAAATACAGTAATAAAACAGCACTATGAAGAGAGAATGAAATAAATAATAAATTATGCTATGAAATTTGACAAATATTTTCAAAAACAAAGTAAAATTACTGGTTTTTTTTTTAAAGAAATAAACACACGATATGCATCAAAATTGATAGTTTAGATTATCCCATGTTTTTCAATTACCCATGACTTGCTTCCCTGCCGTTAGCTCAGATAATTGAAATTACACTGTAAAATATAAATGTCTAGTGATTATTTAAAAGGATACTTTTTTTTAAGATATCTGGGAGATTTTGAGAAATTCATTTGTAGAATTGTATTTATTACATTAAAAAGTCACAAGACTGACTGTCAATTACTAATTACTTTAAGTTGAAACGCTTCACATGAGTGGCGTGTGGCTGCAAAATGTTCGATCAAATAAACAAGATTTAATTTTTTCATGTTGCTAAGCAACGAAGAGGTATCAGGTTTCTGAGAGTGTTGGACATATATTATGTAGAAATAATTTTCGAACATACACATGAGAAAACAGTAAACAGTCAAAGACTTCACCAAACATGCATTTGTGCCCATATTCTACACCAATGGCTTGCACAGTACACACATATGCACCCATAGCCACATCAATGGTTTTTGCAAAAGGCATATATGCGCCCATAGTAGTCAAAGGGTTAAAATGAGTTCTTTAGATGATGTATTGAAATGTCAGTAGGCCAGTGTCAAGCAGAGGTCATTCAAAGAATGTTTCAAATGGTAATATCAAAATTATGGTTCTATTTTCAAACTACAGATACCATTATTAACCCATTCAGTATGGGTGTGTCATATGTGCATCAGCAGTGAACATTACCTCACGGCTATGTGTGCCATATTTGAATCGCCATTTAATTCACTCTACTGGGCGTACCACATTTGACTTTTTAGAAAGAACGTTTAATTAATATTTGTTGCCACTAGATGTAGCTGTATGCCTGTTATGGGGAAATATATCGAAAGTTAAGTATGTTTTCCTTCATTTCTACTATGCAATGATTTTTGTTTTTGGTACGGAATGAGAGTGAGGTTCGTGGATGGGTGTTGAGCAATTAACGGAGTCATTTGATATAAACAAAATGCACTTGCTCTCGCTGCATTGAGGTATTTTTTATTTTTATTTTTGCGATATAGAGGGATAGACGTTCTATCATTAGCGATTTTTTTTTTATTACTCTTAGATTTTTCGTGCTTTGAGATGAATATTTTTAATCCTCAGTGAAACCTATCTTTTTTTTAATGGCAAACAAAAGCAGTATCTAAATGTAGAATATACACAATCCCTAATTCGTTGTTAGTGTTGAGTAATGTAATGGCTCTTACTGCGTCATTGCTCTGGAATACTTGTAATGTAATTTATTAATTTTTCTTATTTTTATTTTATTTTTTTATGGGTTATAGTGGAGTAGATGTTCGATCATTAGAGACTTTTTTTATTACTCTTTGAGTTTTCAGGCATTGAGACGAGCTTGGCGAAAGGTTTTTTTTTTTTAAATGCCAAATGAAAGCACTATCTGACCATAGAACATATACAAATGCTAAATGAGTCAAATTTGCTGAGTAAAATAGCAGCAGATATTATATTCCTGTGACTAATGCAACGTTGGACTTTGCATACACCCATGTTTCAAAGAATATCATACACTGTCTCATTTTGAAACATTGCTTACTTTTCATTGTTTGCTCATTGAATTTTTATGAAAGATAGTTTTAATATTTAAAATTTTAATTGTGTGTTGTGTTAAATAAAATCTGCGATTGTTTGGTTATTTTTACATATTTATTTATTTGTGGGATAAGGGGAAAATTATATTATTTTAGAATGAGTATTTTATAAAATTTTTAAGGAAAATATAATAATAAAGGCTTAAAATTAATTCTGACGATTACCTGAATGTTCTTCTCAAAATGTACAGAAAATTGGATGACTAATTTAAGTTATATGAATTTTTTTCCAAAGTTAGGCTTAGCAGCGTAAATTGCCCATCCCCACAGGACAACGCATCAGAGATTCTTGATGAGTTTTCATCTGGAGAGAACTTGGGGCCCATTTCATCCTTCCAATATGAGGAAATCGACCAATCTGGTGTGAGTGGAATCCTTGTGTGGAGAGGCACCATTTTGGATAGCCATACACTTTGCACAGAAATTATAAGAAGTTTTTATGATGAGTTGTTGAAGAGACCTTTATTTTTATAAAGAATAATTCCAAGTCACAAAGAGCTGAACTGATTGACAGTTTTCTGGATGTGTCATGGTACGGCCACCAAAGTCGCCAGACTACATAATAGAATATGTTTGGGATTCTCTAGAAAGAGCCATTGCACAATATCAAGACTCATTAACCATATAATAGAATATGTCTGAGATTCTCTAGAAAGAGCCATTGCACAATGTCAAGACTCATTAACCACTTGCGCTAAAAAGACGTGCCAGGCACGTCGAGATGCTTTTGTCTCAAACCGCGAGCGATGTAAACACCACGTTGATAGGCATTTATTGTAAAAATGAAAGTAACGTAGTGCACACGTCGCCTAACGAGATTGTTTATTTCTCGAGTTACAGCTCTGGATTGCACTCGCAGATGCGGAGTGGCGTTAATGAGACATTTTACCGCTTGTTATATTGTAGTGCACAGCACCACAACCGTGAAGTTTAGTCATACCGCAAGTGGTTAAAATCCTCACTTTTAGGATAATGAAATTATTGCCACAAGCTTATGATCAACAATCTCATTTACAATAGGGCTTCATGTGAGGGATGAAAGTTAGACATGGTGGTCTCACACCTTCTTAGCTAGACCATTTTGCAAATATGAATGTCATGCTTTGGCTGTCTATGATTTCATTTGCATATAAAAAGAAATATTTACCTTCTGTTTGTTGTACTATATTATTATTCTCGGAGTATTGGGCATCTGTGTACAAAATTTCATTATACTAAAACAATTATTTTTTAAGATAACTTTTAATGCTTGTAACCTTAATTTTGGATACCAGTATACTATATCAGTTTTCTAATGTACTCTTATGTGATTAGAGCTTTCATAATTTTATCATAATACATTAGACTAAATAAAAAATTTATTTTTTAAACTAATACAAAAAATTGCCTAGTGACTAAATAAATTGGTTGATCTAAGCTACACATTTTCTAAACTACTGTTTTAGATTGCATTTTAGATAGTAAAACATCTATAATCCGCTTTGTTAGGGATGGAATTAAATTTATATGTGTGTCAGCACACTTAACAACACATGTTTCAAAGTTCTTTTTAAAGCCACTAAGTTCAGCTTCTGTTGTAGATGGTGTAATTTTATCTCTGATTTCATCTTGACATTGCATAACACATCGTTGGATACGATCCTGAAAAGAATAGGTTGGTAATTGTAATATTATGTCATTCTTTTATATATAAAAAAAAAAAAAAATGTGCATTAGCCAAATAGAAAACATAAGTAAATTATCAGATAATAATCTACAATAAAAATAGAGAATTGAAATATTGTGAAGTGCACTACGGAGTCTACTTACTCCATACATGCTTTCATTTTTGCTTTAGTTTAATTGTAAAAGACTACTACTGCAGCTTAGTTAGTTTCAGAAGAGTAAAATAAATATTAGTTATTTTTAGTCATGCTGCTGCATTTTTACTTCTGCTAACAGCAAAGTACGACTTCTTTGCAATTTATTTCCTTACTGACACTAAAGCCAAGAGCCATTTCAAAATGGCAGCACATGCATAATTTCATAAAACTGCAATCAATAAAATTAAAAGAGAAAAAAAAAAGAAAAATTGGTAATAAATTGAATTGGTTACTTTTCAAGAAATTTTTCTGGACTACATCTACGTATGTACACAACAATTTGCTTTCACTAACAAAGACATCATAGAATTACACACAACCCAACAATAATAAGTAAAGCAAATAGCTGCTATGAATGAAACATGGCTATTTTCAAACCAATTTCCAACTTGCATTATAACACTTTGCTTGCAATTTTTCACACTGCATTTCCTAAAATTCAATCATTTAAGAAAAAAATGTAAATGCATGCAATCCAAACTATTGGACGCAGAATGTAACAATTCTGAAGAAATATAATTCTTTTCTTTTCCATCAGCCAACAAAAAAACTCTGCATTATGATTCAATAAAAAAATATATATATACTAAATTATAAAAAGAAACACTAATCATAATAATGATAGTTGAATTTCAAATCTGCAGGTCTACACGTATTTAAACAGATGTGCAAAATACCTGGATTACCACATAACTATTTTGGGGACTAACTGTGTTACCTCATGAATATTTTTGTACGACTTTTCGGTGGGGGTGCAAATTGTTAGAAAGTGTCAAATATTTTTTAACTACATATAAGTAGATAAGATATTGACATCAGAAAAATCTGTAATTAAATCTTTCCATCTTTTGCATCTTGTTATATTTTACTTGAAGAGAATTATCATTCATGAGGCTTGGTGAATTATCACAGCTGTAGCCAATTTTAACACAGAAGATCTTAGCAAACTGCCAGCTCTAAAAGTATGGCTGATCTTGAGTCAGAAGATTTTTTATTATTTTCCAAACTGTAAAAGTACACTTTTTATAATGTGATAGATTTAATTAATTAATAATTTTTATAATGTGCTAGACATGTAATTTTTAAGTTAATACATTACATTTAAATAATTTTATTGCCATTTCATTTTTAGTAATATATTATATATATTACTAAAAATGTATTTAGTAATATATATATATATTTTAGTAATACTTAATATAAATTATAATGCATTTGACTGATAATTCTTTAAACAGTTATATGATTACTCAAGTTCATAAAAGATATTTTTAATGCCATATATACTGTAGCTTTATGAGTTACACAATTAATGCATATGTGTGCTACCCTGATGCTTTTAATGAAGTCAAGGCATTGTCAAGCCTTAAAATATGGAAAACCGGAAGATTCTTGCTCAAAACCAGGATGTTTTCATCATTTTAGCAAAGCCATTTCAACTCCAAATTTAAGTAAATTCAAATACTTAAATTTGGAGTTGAAATCAGATAATCAGAAAATACCAAATAAAAGATGATTCTGGTTACTGAAGTACTTATAATATGATTTTAATGTAAAATTTGTTGACATTTAATTAGATATTTGAAATTTTATATTATTTGACTAATTTCATTTTGTAAATTTCTTACACTTTTACAGAAAAAATCCTCAGTAAGAAAAGAAAGCTTATTTATCCAATATATATAATAAATAATCCTTATAAATATGATATAAAAATAAAATTAACAACTGATGTATATAGCATTGTGTGGCTTACCATATATTATGTAAATCATAACGATATAAAAATACAGCCCCCGTTGCTTTTTAAACTCATTGGTTAATAAACGCAATTGTTTATTACATTCAAATTTCCAAGAACCAAACCAAATAATTATTAATCAATACAAAAATTGCCATTTATTAAACTCATCTCCACCACTTATTGAACTCAGACTGGCAAAAGACTGATTCTTCGGTGCCATAATATCCTACTTGACCTGTCAAAACGTATAGTTCATCCACTTAATGTATTGGTAATGTCATGGTTTTATTGTTGGTTATGTAGTGCTTCAATAAAATCCATTTGAATATTTTTTTAACACTTTCCCTGTACACTGTTTCCAGAGTTCTAAATCTGTACTGGATTTCACAGCGTCACAATTTCCTTATCTTGAGGTTAATAAAAACATTTCCCTGTGGAAGAAAGACCGTAAATGAGCGAGAGTTCTTTCTCAAATACCAGCTGATAGGAGATGGAAATGCAACTTCTAGATCCATTTTTTAATATTACTACATTCAAAATCTTCCCTTTGGGATAGTCAAATTATATTCAAAGAGATAAAACAATTTCATAAAATGTCTCCTAGCATTACCATACATTAAGTCTTTGGAAAGGAGATGGTAATTGTGGGCTGAAAAAAAAGTACGGAAAGCACTGTTCATGCTTGTAATCACCAAGTGGCAGATAGACTAAACAGACAAAGAGCAATTTTACCTAGAAATGTAAATTTTGAAATTTGAATAAATCATGAAAGAAGCATTTTCTTAATTTGTTGTGAGTTTAAGTTATAACATGTCAAAAGGCCAATAAAAGACTTACACCTGAAAGCAAAGGATAAATTGTTTGAAGATTTTAATGCTTATAACTACACCCAATCAAAAACTGCATTTAAATTGGAAATTTTGCAAACAGCATTGTGTAATTTACTTTAAGAAGGAATTACTTAATGAAGAACTAATAAAAAATGCAAATTTCTCAAGCACAAAAAAGCTAGAAAATCAAAGATGTTGAAATTGCTTTTCGAACGTGGTTTCAAACTATAAACGCACTTCTAATTCCAGAGTTCCCCAACCAAATTCTCTAAATGCTAGAAAAGAAATGAATATCAACTGACAGATGGCTCATAAGTTAAAGAAATAATGCTTTATCCATATACAGCATGAATTTTTTGAACAGTATAACTAACATTTTTTTTTTTTTTTTCTTTTTTTAAAATAAAAGAGCATATTATGAAATGAATTTGGGGGTTCTTTATTCTTAATGCTCTACTAATGCAAAGATTATCTAGAATTAATTATGAAACAAGAGTAGAGAAAATTGTATTTAAACATTTGCTTCAGTCATAGTAATTATGTATCAGCAGTAACAAAATAATTAGACAAATACATGCTTTAATTTAAAAACCTGCAAAATTTTCTGGAAGACTAACGACACTATGCTTACAAATAAATTAATTATCAGATTAGACAGTGATACATAAAGTAATTTAAATACATTTTTTTTATACAAATGAAATCTATACATTCGTATGATGCAAAACTAACAAATAACGCAATTAGAATCTAGTTTTCTTTAAAAAAAATTCATTTACATATGCAGTTATGAATTTACAACAGCCAACTAAAATTTTAAGATATTTACTGATACCTGGTAATTTGTCAATTCATTTTGAAGAAATGTTTGAGCTTCAGTCAATGTAGAACTACAAGATTCAATACATTGATGAACTTCTTGCATTGATGAAGAAGAGTTATCACAGCATTTGGCAGCACATTTGTGCATATTTCCCTAAAATAAAATAATGTTTTCTGCATAAGCTATAAAAAATAATGAGAATTAAGTTAAACACATCATGAAAAATCAGAATTAATAAATAAAAACATAAAAAGCACGTCAGTATTATTCGTGAAATTTGAAAAATGTTTTTAAAATTTTTAACAAAGGAAATATGCATAACTGTTATATAAGAAATCACAAAATTTAATTTTTTATGCTTCATATTTGTAAGAACATGAATTCTGAACACTGATATTTGTAAGACTGGCTTGATTTCTCTTTCACTGAATAAGCTGGCTATACAGTTTCTGTATCTTTTCTAGTGTAATGTGAATACAACCTTCTGCATCAGAAGTCCTCCACAAAAGCACTTTTCTGAAGAGCAAACAGCTATACAATTCTTACATGCTTTGCCATTATAAAGAACATCATTTATTCATTAAAAATTATACTATACTCCCAGTATCAATACTGATGATAAATCAAAAACTGGCAATTTCTTTCTTTAAATTATTTAAATGGATTAAAATGTATTAAACGTTGCAAACAACCATTGCTTCATAAAACACCTTCACTATTTAAAATCTTTAGGAACAGACTTTGAAAGAAATTGCTATTTTTTTTTTAACCAGAAATGGAAATTCTGTTAATAACCAAATTTTAAATTTATGGCATTCCTTATTTCTTAACGTTGCAGATACATTTTGTTTAAACTTGGTTACATATGAATACATTTAACTGTTAACTATATCAAGTATGATAACACTAATAATCAAGAGAAACACCAAAAAGCCGTTACATTACGACCACCTTGCTAATAACATGTAGGACCACCTTTAGCCCTCAAAACTGCCAGCACCGAGTGTGGCATTGACTCCACAAGGTGCTGATACATAGCCTGAAGTATATGGTACCAAGCATGCACCAACTTGCAATTCCCACACACTGCAAGGGAGTAGTGTGGCAGCACAAATTTGGTTTTCCAGGTAGGACTACAAATGCTCTATTGGATTAATGTCAGGTGAATTTGGAGGCCAAGATATGACTTGAAAGCCACTGGAATTTTCCTCAAACCACTCCCTGGTGATTCGGCCCTTATGACATGGTACAGTATCCTGTTGGTGAACACGATCTCTCACCGGAAATACTGTTGTCATGAATGGTTCAATCTCATCTGCAATAATGTTCACGTAGCACCAGAAGTCAGCGATTGTTCTATGCAGATTATGGGTCTTAATGTGCTCCATGAAAACATTACCCACACCATAATACCCCCGCCATCAGCTTATCTCCGTCCAACTGTGCATCTGGGAGCCAGGATTTCGTTTGGAAATCTGCATCATGCCCGTCGATGTAATGGACCAGAAAACATGATTCGTCAGCCATGCAACTTTCTTCCATTTTTCTAATGTCTAATTTTAATGCTTCTTGACATACTGCAGACACTACTGGCGATGATGTGCCGGATGAGTGCAGGGACATGCTTCGGCCTCCGACTGTGTAGGCCCACACGCAGCAATGTACGATGCACAGTACGCTGAAAAACACTGTCTGGGTAACTACTGTTTTAGCTCTTGGGTCATGGCGAACAATGTGTAACAATCTCCACCCTCCTCTGGAATCAATGCACCGTCAGCAATACACTGGTGGCCGGTAACTTGTGTCACCATCCATACACCACTTTTGATATGTGCTTTCAACAACTGCACGTGAACATCCCAATAAATGCACAGTTTCTGATATTCATGCTCCCAGTCACCGAGCCATGACAATTTGACCTTTATCGAAGTCTGGTAAATCAGCTTCTTTCCCCATTACATAACTAATCACGCTACATTTGGAAAGACGATGCATAGCCACTTTATATACTCCAACATTAGTTGTGCACACGCAGTGGTTTTGTTCCTGGGCTGTCCCATTGTTATAGATGGAGGGTGGTTATAATGTAATGGCTCTTCTGTGTACATACATAAAGAAGCAATATCGAAAACAATTTACAGCTATAAAAGTTATTTAAGTTAGTTAAATATGTACAACAAATGCTCATTTTATTTATGGCAACTATAAAACTTTGAAAAGACTACTTTTTTTTTTTTTTTTTTTTTTTTTCTAAAGCGTTACAGTGAGTTGAAATATTATTCCATCTATTTTCTTTTTTGTAAAACTACAATGATTTAAAAAAAAAAAAAAAAAGTACAAATGTATTTGCACACAATTCTTTGCATAGTCAACTTGTGCTAGTATACAGCAACCTGCTCAAGTATAACAACCCATAAAAAAGTTCCTGCTGACCTTTCATTCAGTACAATGACCATAAAGTATCTGTCTCTCTTTTTTTTTAGTCCTGAAAGGGTTGTCGTAACATATTTTAATTACTTGATGCTGAGAAGACTTCCTTTCAGTTTACTCAATCCCCTTTGTTTTGCTTATTTTTTATATGCTATTAAAATTATTCTGCAAATTAATTACTTTTTTTACTTGCATATTCCCCCCCCCAACTTTTTAATGCAAGGTTCTGAAAGCTTTTTTGAGCATTCATGCAACTTTCCCCTTTCTCAACACTTTTATGAAGCGAGCTTACCTAAATTTTTAAATAAATGCCCTTTTACGTACTGATTATTTTTTTTTTTCCCATGGATTTTGAATGCATGGGCTCTGACGGCAGAAGGAATTAAAGTGAAAATTACAAGAAAACAGGGATATCTAATGCTTTGTGGTTCTGAAAAATGAGGGAAGACAGACTGAACAGCACTAAAGGTAATGACAACAGTAATGATGGTGATGACTAGCAACCTATAACAGATAACACAGTTCTAGCAACAATGATTTGAGACCTGGGGAATAGCTATGGATAACAATTAGTGATGAGTCGGTACTACCGAACCGGGTATTTTGTAACGGGTACTTAGTTGTAACAGGTACTGAAAATCGGTACATCCAAGTACCCATTACTTCAGTACCAAAATCGGTACTTTTCGGTATTCGTTACTTCTGTACCGAAACGGGTACTTTTCGGTATTTGTTACTTCTGTACTGAAACAGGCACTTTTCGGTATTTGTTACTTCTGTACCGAAACGGGTACTTTTCGGTATTCGCTACTTTGTAACGAAAATATGCGTCTCTTTTCGGTATTTCGGTATTCGTTACTGGAGGATCGATGACGGTTCAGCTCAACTCGGTTTTCGGTACAAGGACAGTAGTATCTGGTTGTAGTCGTGAAATGGTGGTATGCGCTCCTTGTGTCCATGAATGACCTTGAAATAGGGCATGGAATGGCAAACATGAAAGGGGGGAACTTCCGTTCTGTTCATCACGGAGACTAGAGTTTGAGTAGTATAATTAATTGCCTTTGTGTGCGCGGGAGGACGAGTGTGAAATAGTGGAAATTTTTCGAAAGGCCGTTCGTTGTGTGTGTGTGGGGGGGAATAGTAGCAGTTGGAGTCACTGTCGCCGGCATTGCTCGCTTGTGATTAGTGATTAGAGTCGGTATAGTCAGGAGGGAAAGGGAGGGGAGCGCTAGATGATTTGCAATCCGAACTGTGCATGTTTTGATTTTTCATCGTTTGTAGATTTTTCATCGTTTCATCGTAGGAGAAAAACTGCGTAGGATCTGAAATGATTGATTTGGTAAGTTGCTGTTGTTGGATTGGTGAATGGAATCAACTACCAACTAGATTACTTCCTTTTCCTCAACATATTTTTAGCATTTTAGCATAAATCATGAAAAATATTTTTCGTTTGCTTGCCTTACAGGGCAACGTAAATCATATGATCCTTTTTAAATAAATATGATCCTTTTTTATCCCACTGTACCTACTTCAGAAAATGTCACAGCATCTAGTGGATCACTAAGCCAATCAACATAAAATACAGACGCAATTTTAAACTTTTCTAATGAAAGAACAAAGATAACTGACCCACTTATGATAATTCTTCTCCCCTTCTAAAAACAGATTTTCATCTCGCCAAAAACTAAACCCAGGTCACGTGCCTAACGCAGGATTGTCAACGCCTGCTTTACCCCCCAGGACGTGACCACGCTCCTCCGATAGGAAGAGAGGTGAACTTTGACCTGGCAGTCCGAATCTTCTTCTTCTTCTTTTTTTTTTTTTTTTTTTCTTTTTACTTCCTCTGGAGCTTATTTGACGGGGGAAAAACTATCGAATGGAACACCGGAAATTATCCGGAACATGTTTATGTAAACATACATGTTCCTCTTTTTTTTTCCTTTGCATTTTTTGCTCTTTCATGCCTGATTAATAGAATCATTAGGCGATATTGCACTTAGTTCCTTCAGTGTGCAAAATCGTTAGCTGCGTATTTCAGTACTCCAAATCGTTACTAGGGTACTTCGGTACTCCAAATCGTTACTAGGGTACTTCGGTATTCCAAATCGTTACTAGGGTACTCCGGTACAGCAAACCGTTACTAGGGTACTTCGGTACAGCAAACCGTTACTCCTGTATTTCGTTACTTCGGTATTCCAAATCGTTACTTTAAATCGGTTTTCGGTACTTTTCAAAGTAACGGTTACTTGAGTAACTTTTCGGTACTCGTTACTCTCGTACCAGGTACAAGAAAGTACCAAAGTTGCCCATCACTAATAACAATAAAAGCAGGCAAGATTCAAGATACAGGGTAGTAGAAATGAAGATGCCTTATTAGATATTTTAACGTTAATATTACTACATATACTTAATGGAATATAGGGTTCTTTTAAATAAATAGTATTCTTACAGTTATAGGTAGTTAATCCATGAACATTCATTTGTTATGTTTTTACTATAAGCACATCCTTTAGAAATTAAATTATTTACATAATTTCCCCCTCTTGATTTCAGTATAATAAAATTGGTAAAAAATGGGGGGGGGGGGGGGGACGGGAGAATGCATGAGTAATTATAATATTGGATTTTCATACAATAATGATACATTTATCATTTAACAGAGAAGCTTTGCAGATTTTTCTTTCAAAATTCATAATTAGGAAATCAATGTACACTGCTCAAAA